CACACTTGACCCACAATGTTTTAATTAGTGTAGCTTTACAAGAAAACTACTAATAGGGCATGATCTTTCACCCCCTCTATACTCCATTAACTTTCTCTTTCAAAAAATTTCTTAGCCAGGCATGATGGCGCACCTGTAGTCCCAGCTACTTGGGAAGTTGAGGCAAGAGGATCACTTGGGCCCAGGATTTTGAGGTTGCAGAGCACTGTGGCAGATGGGCCCAGCCCAGCCTCTAGTTTGCAATGGGCCCATGAGCACTGAATGTCTTTGTCCTGATGACAGGAATCTCCAGATTTGATCACCTGCCCACCTATCACTTCCACGCGCCACTAGAGCTTGGCTGCTACCCCTCAACTGTCCAGGGGTGCAAAGGAGCAGGTGAGGATTCCATCTACCCAGCTGTTCCCCTCAACCATTTCCATTTTAACATCCTTGTTTTCTGCCCACCAAGACTCACTGGGCTATGAAAAGCCAGCCTGTGGCTCTGCTCTAGGACTTCATAAAGTTACAGGAGCATCTCTTGTCTTGCCCTTTGGTGTGCACCAGGAGAGAGTCAAGTTGCTGAGCACTCTTCAGAGACTCTTTTTGTCTTAGGTCTATCAACATCACCTTGAAACCCCCTTTCTTCCTGCCAGCCCGTGGCTCTCCTTCATTTTAGGGTGAGAAAACTGTCCTTTTGTGATTGACCATACACCCTGTGTTCTCAGTGCTTTTGTCTGTGGCCCTTAATTTGTCAAATCATTTAGAATACAAAACAAAAATAAAAATAACCTCTTTCTCAAATATCTGGCTCCTGAAAATCAAGTGATTTTCGGCATCCAGTCTTTGTCTCTCCAATAAGGCACAACCTGCTTCGAAACTCCAAGCTAAGCTATGACAGCTTGTTCCACCCTGGACCTGCCATATCCTTAGAGCCATGAATGCCTTCGAGAACAATGGGCTGCTGGGCAACCAGGAGAAAGTGGGAGTTATTTTAATGAAGAATACATCTGTTAATGTGAAGTAAAATATCCTATTTCCGAAATCATTTTCTCATAAAATTATCTGGGTCTAGTGCATGTCCAGAGGTAATTCTTAGATAACATTTTCAATCCTCCATTGTTATTTGTCTCTTTGTGTTTCTTTTTCTTTTTTTTTCTTTCTTTTCTTTTTCTGTAAATTTGAATACCTTATATATTCTGAGATGCTATTAGATGTATCAGTTTTTTTTGAAATGTATTAGCATAGTGTTGTACATATTCCTTATGATTTTAAAAATACCTTTTTAGCTATGATCATATGCCTTTCCTTTCTTCCTTGGTCATTTCTGTATTTCACTTGCACTCATCAGGGTTCAGTTGCAGAAAAAGAGTTCCTATAACTAGTGTAAGCAGAAAGAAAATCACATCAGTGAAATAATAAATAACTTACAGAATTCTTGGGAAGACTGAAGCCGTAGACTCAAAGTTGAGCTCTCAAAGACAACTTCCAAGGCCCCGTGTGGACACGTCCCTACTATGTCCTGACTCTGTGTTCCCTTCTCCCCTCCCCACCTGCCTTTTAGCACTTTGTAAGCACCATTTCAATGATGTCTCACAAACCCCTATGAGGTAGGACAAAAACAAAAAACACTGAGTTATTAATAACATTAGGTTATTAAGTATGGAATGTCCAAATTCCTTAAGTACTAAGTTTGACAATTGATATCTCTGACATTTCACTTTGACACTTCTTGGGATTTTTAAAATTTTGTTTTGTTTTTTGTTTTTCTTATCGTGAAAGCACATCCTTATTCTTTTGAACGCACACTTTGGCTTGTGATTATCTTTCAAATTTATTTTTTTAAGAGCAATTTTTGTGAAACCACGGATAAGTAAAAAATTTGTGTTATTTTTGAATATGAGTTCCATCCTGAAACCAATGCAGCTTGAAATATCAACGAAGTGTTTGGGAAGGATACAGCTAATGAATGCACAATACATAAATGGTTTAAGAAATTCCATTCTAGTGATTTTAATCTTGAAAATGAGCCACGTGGGTGACTTGAGACCAAGGTGGATAATGATGAGCTGAAAGCTATAGTGGAAGCGAATCCATTTCAACCTATGTGTGAATTAGCAGCAAGGTTTGACGTTACTATTCCAACAATATTGCAGCATTTGAAACAAAAAGGCAAGGTAAAGAAGCTGGATAGATGGGTTCCACATGAATTAAACAAGCATCAGAAGAGAAATTATCTCAAAGCTTGCCTTTCTTTGCTGTCATGACATAAAGGAGAACCATTTCTACACTGTATTGTTATATGTGATGAAAATAAATTCTTTTTGACAATTGCAAGCATTTGGCACAATGGTTGGATAAAATTGAAGTGCCAAAACACAGTCTAAAACCGAATATTCATCAAAAAAAAAGCTAAAGATGTCTGTCTGATGGTCCAGCACTGGTATTATCCACTACAGCTTCATGAAACCTGGGCAATTGATTATTGCAGGTGTCTACTGCAACCATTGGACAAAATGATGAGGGTGCTTGCGATTAAGCAGCCAAGATTGGTTCATAGAGACAGGCCAATCTTCTTTTAAGACCACATGTTGCAAAAACAAACACTGCTCAAACTACAGAAGCTGGACTTGGAAACTCTCTGTCATCCACCGTATTCACCAGACCTTGCACCAACTGACAACCACTTCTCCCAGGCTTTGGACCACTTCTTGCAAGGAGAAGTATTCAATTCTCAACAAGCTGTGAAGATACCTTTCATGACTTCATCACCACTCATGCTCCAGGCTTCTTCACTGCTGGCGTGAGTGAGCTACTGCTAAAATGGCAAAAGTGAGTTGATAGTTTAGGCACAACTTTGATTAATTGTACTGCTTCTTGTTTGAGATGTAATAAACTAAACTTTTGATTCAAAATTGGACATGTCATATTTAATGACCTAATATAAACTTTTCACAAATTCAATTTAGCAGAGTTTAACTGGGCAAAGGACAGTTCACAAATCGGTGGTGCCAGCAGTGGTTCAGAGAGCGCCATTCCAGTGTGTGCAGGCAGCATCTACGGACAGAAAATGGAAGTGAAGTACCGAAATAGCTGGATTGGCTGTGCGGGGCGTTTGCCTCACTTGAACATGGTCGGATCATTTGGCTGCCTGTGATTGACTGAAGCTTGGCTGCTGTGATTGGCTGAAACTCGGCTATCTGTTACAAGAGTGTAGTCGTATGTTAGGCTTTCGGTTAGTTTACAGGCTAGTACGGAAGCATCCTCAGGCCAAATTAGTTTAATTTAAGAGAGGCTATGGTCTCCATGGTCACAAACAAGGCAAAAAGCAGGGGATCAGGGCTAGAAATCACTTTTCAGGTGCGAGGTAACCACAGGTCAAAGCAGAGCTGGGATGGGCCACGAGATTGTGGTGGTCGTGGCAGGCAAGCACCTAAAGCACAAATAGTTTAGAGACAGCCAGGAGCTAATTAATAACAGGCACCAGATTTCAGACTGAATCTGGTCCTGAGATAGAATTATTTCTTGCTGGGTGAGTCCTTAATTTCATTCAGCCCTGGAAAGATGAAAAATGGGAGCTCAAGGGGTGACTGGATGGGCCCGTAGCTGGGTGTGGCGTGGGGGTAGGGAATTCGCTATGGCAGCTACAGACAGCCAAGACCAGGCAGGCCCAGGTTGGTGGTTCTGATACCTTCCCTAAGGGTTTCAAGGAGGGTGAACAGTAGATTTCCAAATCTGGCAGTCTGGCAGTGTCCCAATCACCTTCGTACAAATCCTTGAGGACCACTGGTCTGGCTTGGACCCTTGGACCTTCCAGGCCATACATATGTTTAGCATACATACTGGCCCCCTTGCTGCTGGACAGAGTGGCCACTGGGTTTGTGTGACACTGGCCTGCCCCACTCTGGGTCCCATTCAGATATGCATGCAGAGCTTCAGAGCACACTCCAGACATGTAGCCTCTTGAGTAACAAATTCCATATGTGTCTTTCCTGCGGTAGAGGATCAAACTTTCTTGGCTTGACTTTTTTTATGATTTTTTTAGAGATGGGGTCTCATTATGTTGCCCAGGCTGGTCTCAAACTCCTGGGCTCAAGCGAACCTCCCATCTTGTCTTGACTTTTAAATTGAGTTCCTTCAAGCTTCAAGCTCTCCTTATCCCACGCTGTGCCCCAGTTTACCAGCATTTAAGGAAGCAAACAAGTTCATGTTTACCCTATCATACCCAACCCCAGCTTACCCAGGTTGCAGAAGACTGACTTATTTAGCTTGTCTTCATATTTAAAGTTCTTTCTAAGCCAGGCATGGTGGCCCGTGCCTGTGATCTTAGCACTCTCGGAGGCCAAGGCAGGTGGATTGCTCAAGGTCAGGAGTTTGAAACCAGCCTGAGCAAGAGTGAGACCCCGTCTTTACTAAAAATAGAAAGAAATTAATTGGCCAACTAATATATATAGAAAAAATTAGCCAGGCATGGTGGTGCATGCCTGTAGTCCCAGCTACTCGGGAGGCTGAGGCAGAAGGATTGCTTGAGCCCAGGAGTTTGAAGTTGCTGCAAACTAGGCTGACGCCACGATACTCACTCTAGCCTGGGCAACAAATCGAGACTCTGTCTCAAAAAAAAAAAAAAAAAAGTTCCTTCTAGGTCCTTTTCATCCAGGCTGTCTTGTTTCTAGAGGATACATCTTTGGAGCATTCTCAGGTCTTTGGTGAGGGGTGGGCACCAGCATGACACCCACAGTGGGAACAGTGTGGCTTCTTTGTTCCTGTGGGCAGTGCACAGAAGGAAGGGGCAGTGAGTGCACTTTCTCAGCTGGGTAGCCAGGCAGGGCTGGCTGTCAGAGATAGTCAGACTTAGGAAGCCCAATGCAGGGACGTGTTTCAAACACAAACCACAGCAAAACCTCAGCAGAAACAGGATGTTTGCATAATCTCAAAGTATTTCTTCCCAAATATTAATAATTACAGAGAGAAAAATAGTGAGTTTACCACAGAAAATCCTGGCAGACACCACCTTAACCAAGTGATCAAGGTGCACATCTCCAGGAATACATGTGGATGTCATACGCCCCTGACCTAATGCACCGAGAAGGTGCATCACTGAGGTGGTGCCTTCCCCAGTAATGCATACCCTCAATCAAATCATGAGAAAGAATTCTCCAAAGTGTCTGGCCAGTGCTCTTCTTCAACAGTGTCGAGGTCATGAAAGACAAGGGAAGACAGAGGAGCTCTTACAGGCTGGGTCTAACCGAGGACATGAGATGATGAATTCAGTGTGGATCCAATTGGATCCTGGAACAGAAAAGGGCATTAGTGGAAAACTTTGTGAAATCTGAATGAATTCTGTGGTTTCATTGATAGCATAGTACCAAGGCTAATTTCCTAGTTTTGATAATTGTGTGATTATGCAAGACATTAGTTATCACATCTTGTATAGCATGCAGGATATATAGGAAATTCTCGGTACTACAATTTTTGTAACTTCTCTGTAAATAGGAAATTTACGCAAAACAAAACAAAACAAAACAAAACAACCTCATAGTTCTCTGAGGTGGGGAGGGTCAGGAGCATGGTGGGGGAGAGCAGAGGCCCAGAGTAGGCTTCAAACCCAGCTGTGGGCCTTGGGCGAGGTCCTCACGCTCTCTTGTGCCCTTTTCCTCAACTGAAAATGGGAACTGCACACCTGGTCACTCTACACCTGGTCAGCTATTGTGAGGACAAAAAGGAGTAACATGGGTTGAGAACACAAGAGAGCACATGGCACAGGTGCAACAGAGCTAAGTTAACATCAGTTCACCCAGTGAGTTCTTGACCATGTCACCGGAAGAATTATTTTTAAAAATATACCCTAATACAGAAAATGGACCCAGGCTCTAACCAGTCAGCTTTCCCTCCCCCTACCTTGCATTCCCAACAGTTCCTAAAGCACCTTCATAGGGCGAGAGTTGAAAAAACCACTGCTCCAAACCCATCCTTTTCCCAAAAGTGGAAGAATCCCTTCTGCAGTGTCCCTGGCAGGACATCATGGGTCCTCAGGGGTCCTCAGGTGGCCCCTAGGGGGACTGGTCATCCCATCAGTGGTTGCTGACCTTATGCTGGGTGGAAACCTGCCCCTGGGCAGCTCGATCGTTCTCCCATCCAGAGCTGCAGGGGACAAGGCTTCCTCCGGGCCTTCCACTCGTGCACCCACCATCTTGTGTGGCCTTGGGAAATAATTACTGCATATAAAAAGAAGACAGTCCAACTGAGTTTCGGAAAGATCCACCCTGATCTTAGCAGGTGCCTTCCTAACGAAGCTCCCTCCCTAGGTGAACACTGTGGACAAGGCCAGGGAGAAGAGGAAGGCCACCCTTGTCTTTCCTCTGAGGTCTCAAATGACTTTCCCGGTGAAGAGCAAGAACCTGGTCTCATCCCAGACCTGATCTTTATTCCTTGGCTGGTGTCTGCAAATGCTGTGACACACACGGGCCAGGCCTATCCCAGGGCCATACACACTAGCCATCGGTGCCTTCGGCTCATGTTAATGACCTGGCTGTAGTCACTCCTCCACCAGGCAGTGTCACCACAATCAGCCCTCACACCAGACACTGCGAGGACTCACTGCAGAGCCAGGGGTTGAGTGAGGGGAAGCAGGTGACTCTAATAAGACTCAGCAGCTATATCTAATCTGGTGTCAGAGTTTGGGGCTCTGGCGGGGCCCTGAAGGATTTGATGCAAGAGCTCTAGTCCCCTTCAAGGCAAAAAGGATGAACTCAGAGTAAACAGCCTCCCAGGCCCATTGTAAAACATTCCCTCCTTTGTGAAGTTGCCCTCAATTCCCTTCTCACAAATTACCCGACTGTTCAGTTCACTTGTGTATTACAGCTCCTATCACAGGCTTTCTTGTTTTGCTGCTGGGTAAGTAAAGGCTGTCCTTCCCATGAAACCGCGGAGGCAGACACTGTGCTGCATTTGTTGTGTTGGTGTCCCCAGTGCTTAGCACACTGATTTGCCTATGGTTGGGCCCAGTGGATGTTTATTGAATTGGCAGCTACTCTACTCACCTTTCTCCAAAGGGGCCAGCCAATGTCCATTCCAGACCCAGTTGAGACCACTTTTGTTTCTCTAATTGCACACTGATACAGTGACAAGGAGCCTTGCTGCCGCTGCCGCAGAGGTACACAGCACCTGGCCTGGAGAGGACCCTGGGGAAAAGCTATAAAAGGATTGCTTGAACGAATGAATGGGATGACACAAGGGAGAAGTGTCAAAGGGGTGGGCCACTGAGCCTGGGAAATGCAAGTGGGTAGTAAGAACACACGCTTTGGATTCAGACAGATCCAGGTTGGGATCTGGCTCTTCTGTTCACCAGATGTGTGACCTTGGATAGAGTTTTCAATCATACCAATCTTCAGCTGTCAAGTGGAGACAAGAGTGCCCACATCGTGGGGCTGTGGGGAGGACAAAATGGGGTAGAGCTGGTTGCATGTGCCCACACGCTGCCTGGCACACGCTGAGTGCTCAGTAAATGGAAGCTGCGGTTGGCATTGGAATGGCCCTAGAGGCACAAGGCATCCAAGTGGAGCAGAGCACCTGGCGGCAAAGAGCAGGGGTGGAAAGGACTTGTCTATCCCCCGCCTTTCCTCTCTGCGGAGAGCCTCAGGAAACTTGCATAGGAACTCCTGTGGCCTGTTACAACATCTGTTTGCCCTGTGGCTGGCTCTGGAGGCTCTCCAGGAAAGTGACAACGCCTTGATTTAGCACAGCAAGATGATGGGGGTTGACACCGGCTAGTGGAGCAGATCTTCTGGCAGCCCTAAGGAACCTCTTGTGGCGGGGATTGTCTGGAACTATCACCCCCTGGCAGGAAAGCTGCCTCTTGCAGTTTCAGTGGAATGTGTCATTATTTTTTTCTGTTCTCATCAGATACAGAATTTTTCCTGATTTAAGGGGGGAAAGACAGACTCAAACATACTATGTGACGACACCTAGACACATGGGCTCATATGCCCACTCTATCGATGAGGAAATGGGCCAAGAGAGTAAGAAGCATGATCAATGTCACAGGCTAAAAGAGGTAGGTCCATGGTTCAGAACCACAGCATGTGTTCTGCCTCAGGAAAAGGTACCCTCTGTGCCTGGCTTGCCACTCTAATCTCTCTTCCCATGGTCTCCCCTGGCGGGGAATGTCAGTGCCAGCTTAAAGGATCTCACTCATGGCCTTGTTAACGTCACTGAAGCCAACGCTGAGAAATGGATGAGTTAGTAGGACTTGCTGGAAAGAAGACAAGTGCATAAGTCAGCTCTTATTTAAAGAAGACTCAACTCCCCCCCCATGCCTTGGTTTTCCCACCAGTAGAATAGTCTCTTACCTTCTGTCCAGCTCTTGGACATGTCATAAGCCTGAATGACAATGTCATGCTGCCCCTGAGATTCCCTGACCCAGCCCAAGGCCTGCATACTGTCCCCACCCCATCTCTCTTGGTCCCTGTGCTCAGTGCTCCAGCAGTTCCATCCTGCTCCTAGTCCACCAGCCCTGCACCCTTCTGGTCTTGATGCCTTTGTATGTAGGACACTCTTATGCTGTCCCTGTTTCAAAGCCTTCCTGGATGCTCACTCTGTAAGATAACCACCCCCTCTGTGTCTATTGTACTGTGGATTCTAATTGACAGAGATGACTGAGTGACAGGCCAAGATCATTGAAAGAATTTATTACTTATAGTTCCTCAGAGAGGGGAGCATACCACACCATGCCATGCCACACAAGGCCACATGGGGAAGACCAGAGCCTTCATTGTGATCTCTGTGAGATGCAAGGGCCAGGCAGGGTGAGCTGCTGACGCTGGTTTGGGATTGGCCAGTTTGCATAATGTTGGTGGGCTCTGGACCATAGGGATGGTCCCTACTCTCTGGTCCCTGGCCCTAGGGTGTTTAGGGCAGGGGGAACATTGGCTCGATGTCTGGTAAAGGAAGTGGCTGGGGGATGGGCTCTGCATTGGTTGATTTGCATATGAAAGGTGTGCTCTGGAGACCTGTTGTTTACTAACTCCAGGAATTAGCTAGTGTGGGAGGGATAGGCCCTCCCAGCTCAGCAAGGTCCCCAAGATGTCAAACCATGATAAGATACAGAAAAGAAAAAACACATTTGTGATTTGTGATGTGATGAACACATTTTCCTCTTTCCCCCTGGGCTGCTTCTGTGATGAACTTGGCACGGTCAGACGGCAATTTCATTGTGGTTGTTTGGTTTGATGCTTATCTCTCTTGCCTAGGCTGTGAGCTCATCTTTGTACCTTCAGCCCCTGCCAGGTACCTGCCTCTCATCTACATTTAATACAGGGACTCTCTAGCCTGGGAGCTCATTAGAGTCACCTGGGAAGCATTTAAAAATACCCATGTCTAGGTCTCAACCCCAGAGATTCTGGTGCAATTCATCTGGGTTGAGGCCAGGCATTGATATTTTCCAGAAACTTCTCAGGTGGTCTGCAGTGCAGAACCACTGGTTTAGTGTATGAATTTCCATTGATTCTGTAACAGAGTAGTCGCCCCTCCTCCCATATATGTAGTCATAAAATTGACAGTGGGGAATTAACAGAGGTAAAAAACACAAAAATATTTTCTGTAATTAAAAATAAAATTTTCTGAGTGCTTAAAACTTCCCCCATTTTTTCCAGGAATTGCAGCCTGGCCTACATCCCTACTTCAGGCAGGGAGAATGTCTTTTGATCTTTGTGTTACAGGAGACAGCTTAGCCATCCCAGGCCATAGCTAGTCTCCCAGATGGGCCCAGGTGGGCCCAGGTGGGTGGAGGTCACAGGCTTTGTCTTTGGCAGAGATGGCAGGATGAGAATCATTAACACAGTGGCCTAGAACTGAGGGCCCTCCCTTTAAAAGCTCTATATTTCTGCTTATGTTCAGGAAAATTAGGATTTTGACATGAGAGTCTACCGTTTTTCCTCCTTTGCTAGCAAAGGAATAAACTTCTCTTTCCTTCTCCTCAACTGTTTGTCCTCGTTCTTCTGATGCAACCTTGTGGACAAGTGCTGAGCTTTTGGTAACAGTTTCTTGATTTCTCTGGAAAGAACTCTCCAGAAGAAAAGCAAGGTTGTGGTTCCAGGTATGGTTATTTAAAACAGCAGGCAGCTAATGTCCTGAAAACCAGGGACTTGCTCTGGGTTTAGTCACCTGTTTACTAGAACGTTACCTGTGGACACCTAAGTCTGAGCCAGCCTGAAAGACTTGGCCTTGAAGAGGAGGGGGTGTTTTCCATTATTCCACAGGCTCCCGGCTGTACTTGTTGGGGAAGGTGAAGGTTCCAAATCCCCTCCAGATTGGGAGCTCTGAGGACAGTTGCCAATCCTGCCTCTCAGCTATCTTATGGCTACATGCCTTTTGTTCCACATGGTCAAATGCTAGACATCTTTCTCTGGACTCCGGTCTCAGTGGTTTCTCTCTCTACTCCTCTGCAGCTTTCTCTGTCCATCTCTGGTGTCCCTTCCACCTGCCTCACAGCATAGGTTGACAGTTAGTAGAAACAGTAAGAGAATTGTCTCTGTGGTTTCTACTCTTTTCCTTAGAATCTTTGGAAGGAGGAATGCAGGAAAACCCACCCACCCTTCTTTTCCTCTTCTTTTCTTTTCCTATTCTCCTGCCCTATGTATTAGCTCCTCCCTGGAACTTCCCTGGAACTTCCCCAACTGCCTCCCCAACAGCCAACTGCTGCCTCCCCTCCTGCCACTCCAAGAACCTTCTTGAACACTTCCAAACTCTCAACACCAGCAGACCCTGATTGCCTTAAGGGCCCAAACTGTGGGGCATCCTGGAGGGAACTTTCTCCCCACCTTGTCCAGCCCAGAAACCTGCCAAGATTTCTGGCCTTCCCGCAGCCACGACCCAACAGCTCCTGAACTGCTCTGGGTAAGTGACAAGGGCTCTTCTCCCCTGTTGGTGTGAGGTAAGGACTTTCCATATGAGAGGGAGAGAGAGAGAGAAAGAGAGACAGACAGAGAATCTTAGAGATAGGAACTTGGCCTAGGAAACTAATAGAAATTAGTATTAAAGGTGATAGTTCCAATTTCTTTACTCTAACGTGATTTAAGGCAATCATTCAAATTCATGGCATTTCCAGGCACCTGTCTCTGAGCATCAGACATTTCTCTAACTCTCCCCCGAAAGGGCACTTTGGCACCTTTCTCACTGCTGGATTTCTGGGCTAGCAGGAGCATCATTGATTTTAGGCAGGCCTTACTTCCAACGGACTCGGAGAGTTCCTTTTCCTTGTGGGGTCCTCATTTCCCCTTCCAAGAAATAGGAAGAAGAGTCCCTGTCTCCTTTCATGCTTAGAAGTGGTCTTTCAAGGCTGACATGGCAGCAAATGAATGTGTGAAGCACATCATTTCATAGCACCTCAGGAGCTTTCCATTTTGTGAGCAAAGTGATTCATTAATATTTACAATATATGACTGAAGAAATAGACTTATTATGAAGTCAGCAAGCTGGGGCTACCTAAAAGGAGAGCTTGTGTCCCTGGAGTGAAGGGGGCCCTCTAGCTGGAGGTGTAGCTGGACCTTTGGAAAAATGGACAGATGGGACAAGGGCCAGGGCTGGACTTATCCCACAGACACGCCCCTGACCCCTGAAGTGTGTAACTGCTTGGAAAATACGTGTCTGGAACTCTCTTTGCCCATGACATCACTGCCACCACCGATTCCTCTACCTTCTGCTTGGTAGAAGGAAGGCAAGCTAAGCTTTTTTTTTTTTTTTGAGTTAGGGGCTTACTTTGTCACCCTGGTTAGAGTGCAGTGGTGTCATCACAGCTCATTGCAACCTCAAACTCCCGGGCTCCAGAGATCCTCCTGCCTCAGCCTCCTGAGTAGCTGGTACTACAGGTGCTCAACATCGTGCCCAGTTAATTTTTCCATTTTTTGTAGAGATGGAGTCTTGCTCTTGCTCAGGCTGGTTTCGAACTTCTGAGCTCAAGGTATCCTCCTGCCTCAGCCTCCCAGAGTGCTAGGAGCCACCAAGCCTGGCCTTCTTTCCCATTCTTTAAATATGAAGAACAACCAAAGGTCAGAATAGTCTGTTTACAACACATGGTTTTTAAATGTGCGTGCTTATTTATCTATTTACTAAGCATCTGCTATGCTCAACGTGCTGTGGGAAACACAGAGATAAATGGGGCCGTTACAGGATGAACTATGTGCACAGAAAGCTAGAGCAGAAGGGGCAAAGCTACAGATGCTATGGAGGGAGGAGCAACACAGCCCCTGGAGCTCAAGTGAGACCCTTCCACGATAGAGGGAAAAGCATGGTTTTAGGAAGTTCATATCTGCCCACCTCTGTTATTGTCTCTCTTCATCACTTGGTAATAGCACCTGCTATTCCCAGGCACTGTGCTGGTGGCAGACACAGCAATTCATAGGCTGCATAAAGTCCTGGCCCCACAAAGGTGACGACAGTCTAGTGCAGAGAAGTACAAGTAAATAGGCAAATATGCCCAGAGAGTAATATCCTACAGATGCTGTCTCTGGATATGAGAGAATGCCCACGAAGGTTCCCTGAAGGAAGTGATGTTTAAATAGCACTTGAAGGGTGGGCGAAAGTTAGCCAGGTGGCTCATGGGGTGGGAGAGAAAAGTGCCCCATATGGAGAGATTGGCTGTGCAGAGGTGAGTTTAGGGATTCTTTAGTTGACAATTGGCTGAAAGAGTTAGGCATTGTCTAAATGACCAGGAGTCAGCAGAAAGGAAATCCTTGAGTTAAGATAAGGAAGTCTGTTGATCAGAGACAAGCCACAGGACACATACCCCTACTCAAGTGATTTGTTGTGTGAATTGAGGACCTGCAGGTTTGTCTTGCTGAGCCTTCTGCCTGTGAATAAGTTACAGGGGATATCTACAAAAAGGGAGGGGGTAACTCATATCTACATGATGAGGCCTGTCTGACGTCCCTTCTCATGGCTGGCAACTCAGTTTTAGGGTATCCCCTTGGCCAAGAGGGGGTCCATTCAGTCAGCTGGTGGGGGAGGGAGTGTCTTAAGATTTTAGTTTAGTTCACACAAGTATGAAGCGAAGTCTGTTGAATCCCCAAGAGAATGACAGGGTTTGAAAACACCGAGAACCGCTGCATTCTGCCAGATCTCTCTGTACAAAAACAAGCTGGAGGAGGTTAGATAAATAAGCAAGAGGGACCCAGGGCTAGGGGCCAACGTGAGTGGGTAGTAGGAATACTAATGTTTACAGGGAGTTAGGAGCTGTTAAGTGAAAATAAGGAGGATCGGAAACAGATATGGCAATTATTCCCTGCATTTAAAGAAGCATTTTATTAAGCGCCTATATAGGCCGGGAAGCGTGCTTGGAACGCAGGACACGGCCAGGGGCGGTGTGTGTGGGGGCACTATCACTAAGCCAATAACTACAAAATAATTTATTGCAAATATATAAAAATAAAGAGGGAAGAAGTAGGGTGCTCTGATTGTGTAGAGCAGTAAACTAATTGAGCCTGAGAGGTCAGAGCAAGTTTCCCTGAGGAAAGAACCTTCTGGCCACACCCACCCGAGGGGGTGGGGCGTGGGGCTGGGGCGGAGCTAACATGTGAGACACAAAGGCTGCTAGAGAGGCCGGAAGAGCCGGATCTCGGATCTCGCAGGGCATCATGGGTCACGTGGAGGATTCTGGGCTCTCCTCCCAAGAGCAAACGGAATATGGAGGGAGTTCGGAGGGGGATCTACGCCAGTAGGGGGCAGTGGAGCGGAGTGGTTAAGAGCGCCGATTCTGAAGCGAGACTGGGTTCGAATCTCACACTTACGCGCTGTGTGGCCAAAATCAGGTCAGCTAAGCTTTCTGTGCCCCCTTCTGTGTAAGATAGGTTGATAATAGAGCCGGTTTCAGAGGATTGGCATGAGGAGTCAGAGATAGAAGTGCCTGGCACGTAGAATGAGGAAAGATGGCTGTCTTGGGTGGGCCCACTGACATGCCCCCGCCTCTGGGCATTTTGGCTTCTTTAGCAGCTGCCCTTTGGAAGAGAGTCTCTTGGCCTTGGGCAACCCTTCTGGCAGCAGCATCCTCTGGCTCTGGCCGCTCTGTGAGCTGCATGACAGGGACCCTGCTAAAACTATATATCCCAGGGTCCCACACGGGACAGGCACGTGGGAGGTGCTCAATACCTATAGGTGAAATGGATTGCAAATGAGTAAATGAATAAATGAATGAACATGGACCTGTGGAAGAATGCCTGCACTACCTATAAATTATTGAGCATTTTCTATGTGCCAGGTGCCTTACTGAGTGCTTTCCAGTTTATTTCACTTTATTCTCACAATGATCTTGTGAGGAGGCTACTATTAGACACTTTCCAGTAGGGGAGACCTTGGGAATAAATTCTCTGTGGGGGAGCCCTGGTGGTACTTCAGGGTGCCTAATGATTGAAAAATGTGTTTAATTTGTAGCCCCAAAGGGGGACTTTTTGCTAGAAGCTGGGATCCTGAAGGCAGGAATTGAACCAGAAAGCAGGCTATCCTGTCAATAGTTTCCTAAAGATCTAGGTGCAGATACTTTATAGCTCTGAGCTCATCTTACTTAGCAAGGCACAGGGGTGACAGGAGTTATTTTACTTGTTTTTTGAGGAGGAAAAGTTGTGCATTCTATGGAGGCACAGTGTGGCCTCCTCTGCAGAGCCCAGGCAGAGCTCAGAGCACCAGCCAGGAGTCCTGAGTTGCTGGCTGGTGGAATAGTCTCCCATCTGGCCTCTGAGAGGACTGAGAGCAAAGCCTGGGAAAGGCTGTAGGGAGCTGGCTTTGATCTTCCCTTGCCTGCTCTGGCTCAGATCAGAGTCCGGTACACTGGCGGCAGGACTGTTCCCCGGAGGGAATGCAGGCGACTCTGCGGGCCCTCACTCCCCCCTCCCAGAGCGCTGGGGCAGGCCACCCCCTTCTGAGCCCCCAGTACCTCTGCAGGCCTCCTTCTCCGGAGGCTGTTATTTTGGGAGACTGCTGAGTTCAGCACAGCTGCAAGGTGCAGCCAGATGTACCCTCCTGTCCTCAGCTGGCCCTTCAGAGCTGGCCTCAGGCCAGTTACCTCTGCCTCCACCCATGCTGCAGCCCTCCTACATGGGTGGCTGTCTCCAGCCATCTCCACCTTGGAACAGGTGCTGTAGGTACTGGGGCCAGGAGAGGCAGAGCCTGTCTGAGGAGCACAGCTCAGCCCAACCCCCAAACCCCACCCCCAGTCCAGAGCCTGAGGTCCCAAGTGTCCTAGGGCTGGCCTTAGAGTTAAGGAGCAAGCTGTCCCTGGCCAGCTGACCACACTCGGTGCAAATGCAGGGGCAGGACAAGGAGCTGTACTGAAAGTCTTACATAAGCACGTCTACTTTGTAGCCTACTTTCTGGCCTGGCAGCCAGGACAAGAATGACAACAAAGCCGTGGCCTGCAAGGGGAGGGGCCTCCGCCAGGGCTGCAAATTGAGTCCAGCTTGGAGGAGGCCCAGGTCCTCCCAAGGTACTCGTGTCCGGGTGGCGGATTAGCTGCTGGAGCCCAGACAGCTGCTCGGCCCTCTCCCTGCACTAACCAGAGGTCACTGCCCCACCAGGTGGGCCCTTGGGGAGGGGCATGGGCAGCGGGTAGGCAGCCTTCTGCAGGGGGTCCAGCTACTCTAAAGCTTCTTCTGTTCCAGGTGCCCGGAGGTTGGAAGATGAGGCTGTCAACAGCAGCCCTGTTGCTGGGTCTTGTGCTGGTGGTCACTGGAGAGGAGGATGAAAACGACCCGTGTGCCTATGAGCCCCTGCAGGAGGAAGACGCTGGCCTGTGCAAGTAAGGCAGGGCAGGCCGGGCGGGCAGATCGCAAGGAGGGGTGTTTCCAGAACCAAGGAGCACCATCTCCTAAGCCCACTTTGTTGGGAAAGGCTGAACAGATGTTAGATCTGGAGACCACCTTGATGGAGGATGGCACTGAGAAAGGGACTTTGAAACAGGCTCCTCCCTGCCTTCCAGAAAGCATGTCTCTGACCAAGAGGGCTGTGGATATGGGTTGGCTCCCCTACGGTCCTCCAAATGTGAGAGGCCTTGGTGGGGTTGGCTTTTACCCTTCCTGCTGGGACCCAGAAAGAGGCCCTCCCTCCTCCCTATAGCCCAGAATGCCCCCTCCCCCAGCACCCCCAACAGAGCAGCATTTTAACAAGTGGCAGTTGTAGGAATGTCTGTGACTGGACCCTTCCTGTGTGAGAGACTTTTTTTGATAATGGGCCCCAGGTGTGTTGAGACAGGGCTCTGTAGAGAGTGTGACACTGGACAGAGCCCAGTGATGAGGCTGGCCAAGGCCAGCTTCTTCCCTTCCAATGGTACAAGCCTCTCCCATGCTGGGTTGAATGAAAAGTTCAGCTCTCTCCTTACTGTCTCTGCTGGCTAGAAAAGCAAGTCTTCATTTTGCTGGACCCTAAGGGTCATTCTGAGGGCTCCCCAGGCCTCTTTGCTGCCAATCTACTGGCAGGGGAGAAGGGACTGAGCCTCACACTGAGCCTGTCTCTGAGAAATGGAAGAGGGAGAGAGAGAACTCTCACTTCTTACTTCTTCTACCCATTTGAATTTTGGCAAACATTGCAATAAATAAGTGCATTCTCTTTAAAAGTTATGTAGTTGAATCCTTAAAAAAAAGTAACAAATTTTATTTTTATTAGTACATTTCGAAAAATCATGTTAAACAGTTCCGGTGAAGTTTTTGTGTGGGAGAAAGAAGAGAAACGTGGCTGTTTCTCGCATGCAGGCTCTAATTTTCTAGGTGCTCTGTTGAGCAGACCCAGAGGCAGACAGGCTTCTCAGGCCTAGAGGTGCAAGGTCGAACCCCGCCCCGTAAACTGGAGAGGTCAGCTGGGCTAGCTCCAGGCAGGACTAGGCCGCAGTGTTCATCCCATTAAGGATTGTCTTGGTGCTTCCCTACATCTCCCACACCATGGAACACCTAGGAAATGAGGATGTCTGTGTGGGCGCTGGAGTGACCAGCCTGGGACCCTGGATGCCCTAGGCTCTGCCCTGTGGAGATCTGTATCTTGGTGCCCTGGTGACTAGTGCACACGTGGGAAGCTCCAGGACACCTGCCATATGCCAGGCCCCTCTGCTGGTGTTCAGTCTGCTTAACTCACGTCACTGTCACCAAGAATCTGCAGAGTAGGTATTATCATCCCTATTTTGCAGATGAAGTGTCCCTGGAGATTAAGGAACCTGCCTGCCATGCCTACCCGGCTCAGAAGTGGCAGAGCCAGGATCTACCCCCTTGTCTGACTCCATACTTTCTCTCTCCCCCAATCCCCACTTTCTCTGATGACCCTCATCCTGGGCCCAGCGCCTCGCCTCTCAGACTTGAGCTAGGGGGACCATTCTCCGGACTCCTAGAATATACCAGCAGAGACATGGATTTATGACCCTAAGGCTGAATGCTAAGATGTCTTTTGATTGTAAGCCATCATTGCAAAAAGGAAGCTTTGTCATTATTACTGCTGAAGATTTTATTTATTTATTTATTTATTGATTTATTTATTTTTTGAGACCGGGTCTCACTTTGTTGCCCAGGCTAGAGTGAGTGTCGTGGCGTCAGCCTAGCTGACAGCAGCCTCAAACTCCTGGGCTCAAGCGATCCTCCTGCCTCAGCCTCCCGAGTAGCTGGGACTACAGGCATGTACCACCATGTCTGGCTAATTTTTTCTATATAGATTTTTTAGTTGGCCAATTAATTTCTTTCTATTTATAGTAGAGACGGGGGTCTCGCTCTTGCTCAGGCCAGTTTCGAACTCCTGATCTCAAGCAATCCACCCACCTTGGCCTCCCAGAGTGCTAGGATTATAGGCATGAGCTACTGCGCCTGGCCTTGCTGAAGATTTTTATTTATAAAAGATTGTCACTGAAATGAAAATACATCATGGCCATATGGAACCCCTGAGGAGAGAGTGGAACCTCCTGCCCTTGGCCCCCTGCACCAATCCTTGCTCAGCTCGGGCTTCTGACCGTGCCAGGAGATCTTCTGGAGAAGCCACTCCTCTCCTGGGTGTTTGGAGTTCAATAGGGAATTCTTTTTTTTTTTTTTTTTTTAGACAGTGTCTCACCCTGTTGCTCAGGCTACAGTGCTGAGGCATCAGCCTAGCTCACAACAACCTCAAACTCCTGGGCTCAAGCAATCCTTCTGCCTCAGCCTCCTGAGTAGCTGGGACTACAGGCATGCACTACCATGCCCAACTAATTTTTTTCTATATATTTTTAGTTGGCCAATTAGTTTCTATTTTTAGTAGAGATGGGGTCTCATTCTTGCTCAGACTGGTCTTGAACTCCTGATCTTGAGCAACCCTCCCGCCTTGGCCTCCCAGAGTGCTAGGATTATAGGTGTGAGCCACCACTCCCAGCCTGGGTGCCTTTTATAAGGGTGACTTAATCACCTCCTAAAGGTCCCACCTCTTAATGTGATCACTTTGGGGATTAAGTTCCAACATATGAATCTAGAGGGGACACCAGCACTGAGACCATAGCACTCACTTTGGGCAGCTGAAATTCTGAGCCCTTTCCACAAGTACAGCTGGGAAGCTGTGTTTCTCTGTTCTGATTCTTACCATGACAAAGAGACTCAAGAGACCATCTGGCTCAAACTGAAGCCTGGAGAAACCAAATGACTCACTAGGGAGGCTGTGTGGTATAGGGGTATGGACAAACCCATTGTATTAGCTGTCTGTTGCTGCACAACAAATTACCCTAAAACTTAGCAGCTGCAAACATTTATTGTCCTACGGTTTCTCAGTTTAGTCATCTGGGAGATGAGAATAATGATAATAGCTGCTCTGAGGCATCACTGCATTAAATGAATAATACGTGGTACAGCTGACTTATTGGGGTGGCCCAATAAACACCATTCCCTTTGCCTTCAGTCCCTTTGCAGTGCTGGTTAATGGCCAAGCTGGGACCAGGGCCACTGCTTTGTTCACTCCACTATCTAGGGTGCTTCCAAGTCTTGTCAAAGAGATCAGGAGGTTCCCCAAATCTCAGGGTGGAAATGAGAATGTGTCCCATGTCAGGTGAACCACAGCAGCAAGGGCACACAAGCAGGTGGTGCCTTCAAGGTGTTCAGACTCAGATACAGGTTTTAATTCTCACTAATTTTAATTTTTGATTTGGTGCATCTCAGGCTTATCCAGATTCTCTTTTAAGTCGATTTGATCATTTGATCATATGAATCGATCATCAGCTCTGTGCTGTCTGCAAGTCAAATAAATGTGCCTCTGTGTCCTTCTCCAAGCCTCTGATAAAACTACTGAGTAGGACAAAGGCCTGCACACGACCCTTGGCATGACCTCCTATGCGGAGAAATATACCATCTTGAAATACTGGGCTGGAACGGCCATGGATGTGGTGAGAAGGGCAGGGACAGGATCTAATCCCTGGTTCCCTGTTTATCAGGCAGGACACACCCTGTGGCTCTAAGCCCATTCACCAAATATCATCTTGCTGGTTTCACTTGTTTAACTCCTTAAACATTTGCAGCAATTGTACCGGGATGTAGAGGGGACACCTGTTCTGGGAATGGAGGGACCCTCTGCCCACAGTTCGCCTCCTCCCCATCCCCCATTGTTTCCCAAGCCCATGCTGTGTGCCGACTGTCCGTCTCTCTGTCCTTGGAGGGTCCCCTCTCTCTGCTTCACATCTCGATAGCTGCAGTGGCAGGGAGCTGCAACAGAAACAAACCCAATGTTCCTTAAAATGCTGCTATGAAGATAAATGAAAAGCCACCCCCTAAAATGTCTTCAAAAGCTGCTGAAACCATGCCATCCAAAAAGAATCACTGTAAACATGGGAAGAGTGAAAGAAGTGGATACGCTCAGCAAGCCGATGATGAGTGGGACCTGAGCGCCTGCGTCTGGGCATCGGGGGTGCCGGTCCACGGAAGTGCTGAGGGCTTGGTGGCCTTTGCCCAAGGCTGGACTGCAGGAGCCTCTGGAAGGGAAGGAGTGGGGATGTGGGGCTCCCCACCAGGAAGCTGCCCTCACCCTGCCTTGAAGTCCCAACCGCAGGGAGCTCCCCTCCACATCACATCCTCATGGGGTCTCCTTCTGGCGTCGCCCCCAGCAGGGCACTGTGGACAGCTGTGGGTGGCCACTACAGGCTGCAGAACAGCTCAGCCATGCTGATTGTCTTCACCAAGTTAACTGTGCAGAGCCCCTGGGTTTTGGTGATAAAATATAACAGAAGGACAAGTGGAAAAAGTTTAAAAAAATATCTTTTGGAAAGCTTGGCTTACGTTTCTGAGTTTCAAATATAAGTGACTGCTGAAGGCCAGCCCCGGTGAAGTCGTGGAGCAGTCACGTTTGTCCCCTGCAGCAGCCTCCATCTCCTTGGTCTATACCACATTTTCTTCCCTTCTAGGAACCCAGCTTCTCAGAACACTCGTACTGTTCAGGAGCAAATAGATAAGTGGGTTCCTACTACAGTCTTAGTGATGAGATATTTTACCTTCAAGGGATATTTGTATTTTGAAAGAATCTAGCCGGATACTTAACCCAAAGAAGTGCATTATTCAACTAATGGTGGGATTTTAGGCATGGGAGCTCTCGATTGTTTAGGGGAGAGAGGTCTCTGCCATGAAGCAACCCGTGCTGACTTGCTAAACCTTTCTTTCCGTAATAGCATAATAGGAGCGTTCCTGAAAAGCTGTATGTAAATATTGTTCTTATAAACCCAATCCTATTTTAAAGATGCTGACCAAGTTTGCCTAAGGATGTATATTCTTCTTGGGAAGTAAATAATGATGAGGTTTAACACTTTCTGACCACTCCCGGCATGCCAGGCTCTGTCCTAGACGTTGGCCACCACTTTGCTCCTCACACTAACCCTGTGAGAGAGGTATTGGTGTCCGCATTTTACAGATGAGGAAACTGAGGCTCAAAGAATTCAAGTAACTCCTGGATCACACAACTAGTTAGTGACAAGTTTAGGAATTAATCCTGTTTGACTTTGTGTTCTCAACAATGCTAGACTGAAAGTTTGTGAATCCAAGGCTGCTCTAAAACTCTGACACAGGGCAACCTCCTCCTTCTCTCCATAGAGGCCTGGACGTTTTCTACCCAGAGTTGGGGAGCATTAGCTGCAAGTATGTTCCTGACTGCCACAACTACAGACAGAAGATCACCTACTTGCCTGAGCCTATAGTCAAGTTCCCGGGGGCCTTGGACGTGAGTAAGCAGGGCTGGCCTGAAAGGGGAGAGATGGGGGGAGGGTCTTGAAGCCCCTCTGAGCTTGCTCATCCAAGGATTTGAAGCTGTGTGCAGAGTCATCTAAGTTGGGTCTGGTGGCACCAGATGGCTGTTACCATAACGATGTACCTTCCCTAGAGTGGTCCCACGGCCTTGAGGAGGAGGCTGGGGGCCTCGGGGAGAGTTGCAGACCCTTTGGTGATTGTCGGAGACCACTCTACCCAGGCCTCCTCCTGCTCCCCTGAAACCTCTGAGCCCCCAAGTCTGGCTCTGCAAAGGCAATGTGGAGGCCTGCTGGTGTGTGCTTTGGAGTCGGCAGAGAAGAGGAAGAGGTGGGAGTGAGAGAGGAGTCCTCTCTCAAGGCGCACAGGCTGGGCTTTCAGAAAGATCTGAGCCAAAGAGAAGCTCATATGTACCAGGACAGAGCTTCCCAAGTAGGCTAGACAAGGAGAGGTCGGCACTTCTTGGTGCTTGGCTGTTGCAGTATGAGACACACTCTTCTTTCACCAAAAGTTGTCTAAAATAGAAGAACAAAGCATTTTAGGAACTTTGTTTTACTGGGAATTGATTAGCATGATCCTGTTCTGGAAGCCTCCCTTGGTTTGGGGATCTGAGTAGCCTGGGAAAGCATCGTGGATGTGGGAAAGGGGGCTGCTGCTGCTCCCAGCAGCCAGAGCATGTCCTTCGGGGGCTGGTCCAGTGTTCTGGTCACTACTCACTCCTTCCTTGACCCTTGGGCCAGACTGAGCCCCCAAAGTGTCAGTGGTAGTTCTCTTACTTTCTGCTGTGTTAAGGCAGGAGGTGTTGGCATCACCCTAGGCACAAGGACTGGGACTCCACCAGGACTTGGGTCACAAATGCATGGAGATAGAAGTGTCTTGGTCAGGATGTGACCAAGGATACACACCAAAGTGGAACTTCTGGATGCTTCTGTGCAGGGTGGCATGGAGGGGCCACCAGGGGTTCTTCTTCCCTCTCGTGCTACCCTGGGCAGTCCTGACAGTGGTCAGCATAAACACAGCAAGGCCACAAGTGTGGAGGGCAGTGATGCATGGATTACTTGGATGTAGGGGGCAGGGCTTTCCTTTCTTTCTTGAAGTGTTTTTTACTATCAGAGACCAAACAGAGTGTGTTATAGTCAGGGTCTCACTCTGTCGCTCAGGCTAGAGTGCAGTGGCATCATCATGGCTCAAGCAATCCTCCTCCTGCCTCAGCCTCCTGAGTAGCTGGTGTGCACACTCAGCTAATTTTTCTATTTTTTGTAGAGATGGGGTCTTGCTCTTGCTCAGGTTGGTCTTGAACTCCTGGCCTCAAACAATCCTCCCACTTGGCCTCTCAGACTGCTAGGATTACAGGTGTGAGCCACTGTTTCCAGCCATGTCTCACAATTCATGAGGCTGTTACTATGAAGCTTTGATAGGTTGTCCTGTTTGCAAACATGTCAAACATCCTTTCCCTTGGGAGGCCCAGGAAGTAAACAACGAGGAGGACTTCTGGGTGTCTTCTTTTGCCCCCCCCCCACATATGCGCACACACATGTGAACACACACGCACACCCATGCATATACACATCTGCCCTTCCACCTGGGGACCCTTGGTCCAAGTCACACTGTAGACAGGCTAAAGGAGCAGAGAAAGGGAGGCTGCTGTGATTCTAACTCTTAGGATAGGAGGTGAAGGGCCACAGACTTGGGGCAGGAACCCAGTCTCTTAGGAAAGAGTATATGCCACCCCATGGGGAAGGACTCTTGACTTCACCATTAATTAACTTGTCCTCTGGTTTTTCCCTTGTGGAGAGAGGGCCAGATGCTTTCACAGGCTGATGACTGTCTCCAGGGGTTTCTAGGCAAAGGGCTCCTTTCCGCGTGCCGTTGTTACTACAGATGTCCACTAGATGGCAGTGCAGACTTTCTGAGCGCTGGTGAACTTCGTGGAAGAGCTTTGATGCCAGTTGGGAAGGTCTTTGCTTTGATTCGGTTCAGTTGTTGCTGACTGTTCTAGCCTATGGGCCCATAACACATACACAATGTCACCCCTGCCATTTCCTGAAATCTCCCACTGTTAACAAACCTATCCAGTCTCAGCCCAGGGGTGGGGTGGGGCAGAAAATGGATCTGGAACACAGAGATTTGGGAAGGACACTGAGTTGTGATCAGGAAAGCCAGGGAGGTAAGGATTTCACAAAAGGAAGTTGTGGTTGAAACTGTGGGAAAAACGAAAAAGTGATATTAATACTACTATATAACTATAGTTCATGAAAATGTAACAGGCCTGTGAGAAGGCAAATTCAGTTAGAGTTATCAAAAGCTACAATCCATTGAGTGCCACTTTATTCTGGGTACTATTCATGCTCAATTCATTTAATTCTCTCATCAAGTCTGCAGGTTAAGTGTTTGTTTAGTCAAGACTTTTAGTGGCCAGGGACAAAATGCCAACTCAAACTGGCTCCCCCCCCAAAAGAGGGGGGAACTTATTGGTTCACAAAATTCAGGTGTGGCTGGATCCAGGTGCTCAATGTCACTAGAAATCTGTCCCTTGATTCTGCTGTTTTCTGTGCTGTTTTTGTTTGTAAATAGACTCTTTCCTTGTGGTGAAAATCACAGCCCCAGCAACCTCAGTTTTATGTCTGATCAGTTTATCAATCCCAATGGAAATACACTGACCCTTTCCAACCATTATAAGTCACAGGGCTTGTGCTGCGTGGGTCACATGCCCACCCCTGAACCAAACAGTGGCCCTGGGCAGCCACACTTAATTCACAAGGAGCAGGAGCAGAGGAGGCCAGTTGCCCTGGAGGAGAGTCTAAGTGGCATTTAGGAGGTGGGGAAGGATGTTGGGTAGGAAACACAAGAGCATTCTTGGGTGTAGGAATCTGGCCAAGTGCAGAGCCAGAAAGTGGCAGAGCCAGAGTTCAAACCCCGGTCTGCCCAATGCCAGAGCCCACGGGCTTGGCCTGTGGACCCCTGGCAGGGCTCTAAAGGAGATACCAGGGGAGCTGGCAGAGCCAGTGGGGTCGCGGTAGAGGGTGGACCAAGGGACACTTTCCCCAGTTAGAATGGGAAGGGAAGGCAAGACAGCACTGGCTGAGGAAAGTGGTGGTTGGAGCTTCCCCTATGGGGCTGAGGAACAAAGTCTGCAGAGAGAGAGAGTGACTGGCGAGCTTGGGGAGAGGATGTTGTCTGGGACAAGGGGATCCTGAGTACTTAGGACAGAGAAGAAGATAAAGATGTTTCCTCTGGGGCCAGGGCCTGATGGAGAAGGGCAAGAGTTGGTGAGTGGCTATGTGGGGAGGGTGCCTTGCTTCCAAGGTGACTGACACACTACCACCAAAGCAGGGGCTACCAGCGGACATGCCCAGGGAGCCCCCAAAGCAAGCCCTGAGACCCCTGGAAGGAGGGGTGCAGCGGGCATGGGACAGGCCACTTTCCCACCCTTGGCATCTTCGGACCCTGCCCCCATCAGAATGCTTCCTCCTCTAGGAAGCCTTCCCTGACTGCCTCCCTCTGGGCTCCACCTGCATCCCTGGCTGATCTCTTATTTCTCTGAGCTTTTCAAATGTCCCTTACCCTCTAAACTGGTGTTTACTTCCTTCTGTCTTGTACTGCAGTTGCTCGTTCATCTCTCTCATAGCTTCAGCCACTCTACAAGCCAGGAGAGCAAGACTGTGTTGTGCTTCCGTGAACTACCCACAATCTCTACTGGCATTATAGATCCCTTGTTGGCTGACTGGGTGACCAGGTGAACAAGTGAATTAGTGAAGGCATGAATGAATGAATGGCAGGTGGAAGAGCATCTCTTGGAGGATGATCTGCGAGCTGTGTCAGCCCAATGTTTGGCCCTTTAAGCTGCAGGGTGTCCTGGGGCATTTGAAGAAAAGCCGCTGAGCCTGGTGGACCGCAGAGCCACAGTGAGACTCGCTTCTCCTCCCAGGGTGGGTATGAGCAGGAGGGCGGGAGGGAAGCAGGCAAGAGCAGGAAGAAGTCAGGCAGGTTGACAAGAAGGCAAAATAGTGTAGGGGAACGTGGATGGATCCCGTGCCAGCTGTCACTGAGAGTGAGAGAGGTGTAAGTAAGAGGAGCTTTCTCCTCTGGCACTCAGACAAACATTAGGAGGCAAACATTTTAAATGCATCCAGTTCTCAAGCCGATGAAAACTGAAAGGCCCCTGAGAAGCCTCTTGACTGGGAGCTTATTCTTCACCTTAAATTTAACCAGCTGGAATCCTTTTGAAGTGAAGAAATTGCCTTTAAATGGGGAATGTGCATCGCATTAGAGGAAAGGAACAAAAGGTTCTGTCCTGCTGTCCCTCCAGTTTCTAATCAGGCTTGGCTCTGGCCCTATTTCTTCTCCTGGGAAAGCCGGTGACCCTGAGTTTCCCACCTGGCAGGGCCACTGCATTCCCGTGCCAGCCCAGGCCTGCACTGCAGTCTCCTAGGGACCCTCGCCTCCCCCTCATCAGCCCATGGTAGAAATACAAGTTTCAACACAGATTTTGTAGAGGCCTGGAAATCTGGAGACCTGCACAGTGGGTGGGAGTCACAGACTCCTCTCTGCAGGGGAGCTTGCCGGCCCACCCCCTACACTCCCCTGTGCGGCACAGAGCAGAAAAGTGGGGGCTGCTGTGGTCACAAAATGATTAACTGAGGCAGGACATGGTGTCCAACACCCGCAACAGTTCTGGTGGAGCAACCCCTAATGGGTGGAGGAGTCGTGTGCATCTGGGCGGAGACGGGGCTCTGAGGCAGATCTGGGTAAACATGGGGCGCAGAGGCAGGCATATCTAGTGGGGGCACATGCGCACACATGTAGGGGCCCATTGGTTGAGGGATCTGCAGCCACTGCAGGCTCTTTGGTGTTAGGGATGGGAAGTGAATCCCTTCACAAATATTACCGAGGGCACACTTCATGCCAGGTACCATGCTAGTGCTGTTGAATCAAAGGTGAAAGACCATCATGGAGCTCATAGTACAGGTGGAGAGA